GTGCCAAAACTCACATTCATTTGTATACGGTAGAATACTCAATTTTCACTCTTGCATTTTCTCATCTGCATCAAAAAAAGCTCATCACAGGGTCATATAAAATGAACTTTACTTTTATATTTCTTGTCACTTGATAAATGGATTTTATTTAGTAAAATTTAGTTATTGTAGCTTCACTTTTGTTAAATATATATGGGTTTTTTGTATAGCAGTTCTTGTATAAAGCTTTTATTTACTAACAATGTGCAAATACTTTTGAATATATTTTATAGACAGACAATTTAAAATACCAATTTATTAATTTAACATGAATGAAATATTATATAAAGTATATGTTTGTTATGATAGTTTTGTGATCACTTTTCCTGATATTATCATATGGACCAAAGTCTCGACCTTTCAACAAATTTTTGCATAAGGTTTTTTTTGTATTTGTTTGAATTTTGTTAAAGATGGAAATATTTTACACAGAAAGAGTTTGCTCTTTAGATGTGCATATTTTGTAAAAATAATATAGACAGATTGTTACTCCATTCATGACTCTATTTTCAATACTTTGACAGTCATATAGCAGCTTCAATATCGATGTCTCTACAATCAAACACTTGACTGGGGCTCTGGTATAACAAATCAGTAAAATAAAAAAGCTGTCTACAACCTAATTCCTCTGAACTTTACTTTTCCCTTTTTAAGTTTGGATTACTGTACATATGCTGTCCATACAATTTTTTGTTTTTAAACTGTGTTAAGTGTTTGTAGATATTACTACAGAGTTTGTAAAAGTCATATAATATATTCTTTATTCCCTTAACTTATCTCTCTCTGCATTTGTGTGTTAAATATTTTATATCGTTTTGCTTACTTTTTCTTGTATTAAGTATTCAGTTTTCAGAAGTATTTAAACCCAACAGAACTGTGTGATTTGTATGTGATTTGTATTTTACAAAGTTTTCACAAATGTCAAATATCTGGCTGGTGTAATTAATTAGTATAATTTTATCCAATCACAATTTCTCAGCAGATTCAGAATCAATTTGCTGGTCAGTGTTTTTCTAGGATTTGTCTACATGTATGGTTATGTCTTACGTTTTTATTTTGCATTGACCTGTCAGATCAGTTATACAATAGCTACTATTGATATTTGCTGATGTGCCATTTTCAGCAGTTTTAACTTGGATTGTAAAAAGAAGAATTTCAATCTTACTTTATAAGTTATCGAACTATGCCCCAGTCAAACTTAACTGTTATTACACATGTGTATGTAAATATCATTTGTCTATAGATTTTATTTTAGTGTAATAATCTAACTCAATGTAGAGGATTTAATAAGGGTATATTTTAAGATCAAATAACTTTAGTTTTACAGTACTGTACTGTCAAAGCTATTGGGAGTGTGTTAGTTATTGTTGTGCGGTGCAATTGTAAAATCTATTAAAAATAACTCTTGAGATTAACTGAATATCTAGCTTTTTTACCCTTTCACCCTATATTCAAGATCAAAATCAAAATCTCTTTATTGTCCTTTCAGTAGCAATCACAAAAGTCAAATGAATAATATCTTATCACTTACACACTATTAAAACACGCTAACATTTAAAAATATATGAATTAACCATAGTTTGCATAACCGTACTTTTTCTTTATTGGATAAAAACTTGTACCTAAAACCTCCATTATCAACAGGTTATACGATGGAACTTATTAAAAATAATTAGTAAGATAAAATGAAAAAACTTGGCAGGAGAAAATTGGACCATGGGTTCTATGAACGGTGGAGTTGAAATAATTACAATCAATGCTCCTTCCATCACACTCTTTATTTGTGTTTTATTATCAACATTTTTAAATGTAATTTTGTGTTTGTGTAAGGTAATGGTCCAACATCAAATATAACCAAGTTGTTAAAAAGTATTATCATTTAGTATCCCAATGAAAAATAGCAACTGGGGCCAGAAAAATGCCACTCAGTATTAAACGTGCACAGATGTGGCCAATATTCGAAGATATACAATAAGCTATGAACTCCTACCATCAATCAATCAATCATCAAAAACTTTCAAAAACCTGAGGTCTGGTACTACTATTCTTTGTACTTGTTAATTTCCATGACTTCGGTGAAAAAAGAATTTATATTTTATACTTATTTTTGTTAGTTCACTAAAAAAATTGTAGCCTACTAAAGCTAGGACAATTTTATGGTTCCTGTAAAAATGATCTTTAGGCCAGCTAACTACAACATAAGCAGCCCGTCATATACAGGGTGATTGGTACTCAGTGTGACAAAATATTTTTTGGTGTAAGTACAAAGTAAATGCAGTGTGATGATGCATATAACAGGTTTCAAGTCTAAAAATTAGCTTCCCAAAGAATTATTTTATGTTTTTAAAAAATAACTATGTTTTTAAACTTAATACAGCTATTTCTCAATTACCTGTAAATGGATTTGAGTAGATAATGTCATTTTCGTGTTCTACATTAAATTTTGAATAAAAATAATAGAAAATGACGGAGGATCAGTTGTAAAAACTCCATTGTAAATAGATCCAAAGATACAAATTAAGATGTTTGATAAGAATTAAAAAAAAAACAATGATCTATTGCATTTGTTCACACCCTGTATACAAGAAAGTGTCGGAATATGGTAAAAATTCCCCATTTTATAAGCTTTCCAACCATATGCTACACTATAGAGGTTTAGATATTTTTTTGTTTGTTTTAGTGGTTTGAATACCAGAAAACAGGGAATTTTTTTACTGTTTTAGGTATAAAATAGTGATAAGTAGTTACATCTCTCCTATTTTTTAGACAAAGAAGTTTTTCGTTCAATATGGTGTTTAAAATTATTTAAATCTTTTGCCATCCGTAATTGTAACTAGTTTTTAATACTATCAGTAACTGGTAAAAATTTGGGTAGGGCTGACTTTATATCACATTTGACCCACCCACAGTTTTGTAATAATAACACTTGAACCAAAAGAGCACTAACGTTGGTGATTTCAGCACTAACCGGCACTAACGTAGCACTAACGATTGGTACCATTTTTGACGTTAGTGCTCAATTATTTGTACTGGGGGGGCTAACTTTATATAAAGTTGGCCCCACCCACAGATTTTTAATAATAACACTTGAACCAAAAGAGCACTAACGTTGGGGATTTCAGCACTAACCAGCACTAACGTAGCACTAACGATTGGTACCATTTTTGACGTTAGTGCTCAATTATTTGTACTGGGGGGGCTAACTTTATACAAAGTTGGCCCCACCCACCGTTTTTTAATAATAACGCTTGAATCAAAAGAGCACTAACGTTGGGGATTTCAGCACTAACCAGCACTAACGTAGCACTAACGATTGGTACCATTTTTGACGTTAGTGCTCAATTATTTGTACTGGGGGGGGCTAACTTTATATAAAGTTGGCCCCACCCACCGTTTTTTAATAATAACGCTTGAATCAAAAGAGCACTAACGTTGGGGATTTCAGCACTAACCAGCACTAACGTAGCACTAACGATTGGTACCATTTTTGACGTTAGTGCTCAATTATTTGTACTGGGGGGGGCTAACTTTATATAAAGTTGGCCCCACCCACAGTTTTTTAATAATAACGCTTGAATCAAAAGAGCACTAACGTTGGGGATTTCAGCACTAACCAGCACTAACGTAGCACTAACGATTGGTACCATTTTTGACGTTAGTGCTCAATTATTTGTACTGGGGGGGGCTAACTTTATATAAAGTTGGCCCCACCCACAGTTTTTTAATAATAACACTTGAACCAAAAGAGCACTAACGTTGGGGATTTCAGCACTAACCAGCACTAACGTAGCACTAACGATTGGTACCATTTTTGACGTTAGTGCTTAAATGGGGGGGGCCAACTTTATGGACCTCTCCGCCCCAGTGGCTCTGGAGTTTCCCATGTTAACCTTATGATTTTTCATATTTAAAAGGAATTAATGAATCTTTTCAGCTGTTTCAATTAAACAAGTTGGTTCTGTTCTATGATGTTCAATAGCATTAAAGTTACAAGGATTACCAACAGGGTGCAGCACTATTATTTATTTTTAATTTATGACAACAGCTAATTTGCAACCAAAAGGTGAGTGAGCGTAGCGAACGAACTTCAACCTGGAGGTGAGTTAGCGTAGCGAACGAGCTAACCTGAAGGCAAGCGAACTAGCTCCAACCTAAAGGTGAGTGAGCGTAGCGAACAAACTTCAACCAGGACGTAATTGAGCCATGCGAACGAGCTCATCTTGAAAATTAAGAAGTTAAACGGGGCAAAGCCCACGGGTACAGCTATTAAGTATATAAACAGATACTACCCCCATGAACACCCCCATGAACCATATACAGTACATAAAATGTTCGTCATGACGAGAACCTTGCGCAAAAATATCCATTATTTCATAAATTGCCTTTCAAAGTCGTAATTATTTTCTAAAGGGAACTTTCGATATACCTAATGTTAAAAATACCTCAGCTGTAATTGTTTGTTTGTTATTCTTTCAATTTATTACCATAAATCAGGTGTGATTATTTGTTTGTATTACTGTATTCTGTTTTGTTGTTTTCAGCTAACTTAACCAATCAATAGTTTTATTAATACTTATGAAGTCAAACGGGGTGAAGCCCGTGGGTAACAGCTAGTATTATAATATGTTGTAGTTGGCTTCTTTATGGATATATTTTGATCAAACTTGGCGGATTTATTTATTTCAGCTATTGATATTTTAATAAAAAACACACTTCATTAGTTTCCCTGTAGCAGCTAACCTAGGTATTCGTTACATAAATGTTAATTTAATAGATTAATTGAAAATCAATAATCCAGGCAAATGGAAATTTGCTTAGTCGGTAGGTTTGCTGCAGCGGGGGTATTTTTTATATGTACGTTTATCTAATTATCTTTCTTTTATTATAAATTTGGTTGAAAATATTTTGTCCCATATTTAAAACCAAAACTATGGCAAAAAGGAAATGGAAACCAATGTATTAATACAATAAATTTTAATTGCCAAAAAACACGTGGCAGATGCACTTATAAAAAATAACACTTGTAAAACATTTTAACAAATCACAATAGCGTGAGATAACAACAATGAAAAATATTCCAAAGCACTTAGTATTTGTACTCTAAGTAAATATTTGCTCTTACTATTTATCTAGTAAAGTCCGCCTCGCCATACGTTGTACACATTGTAACTAATCTATTAAAAATATTGTCGATGTTATAGCGTGATGGTCTGTTTCCTGTCACACTCGGAAGCTTCTGTAGAAATCAGTAGATGTGGATGATACTGATCAAACATTAGCTCGAATGTGAACCGTAAATAGCAGTCTACAAGTAGAAAAGTCACTTATTACACTGGGTACATTTTGTAACCTCAAAAGTCATATTTTCCCTTCAATTCTTAATTAGGTACTCTAAAATACTATACTTGTTAAAAAGCGTTATATTTTAAACTAATCAACACACTTAAAGTTGGTTACGGAAATTTCAAACAAATGTCAACATTAGTAAATACTTTCAGGTTTACCACAATCACTTTAGTTAGGACACAAAGTCAAAGTCACAAAGTTCGTAGTCGAGGGTTAGTTGCGGTCGACAAGGACAAAGTTGGTCATGGCGGCCGGAGCCAACAGAAACTCAAACTGGAGGTCAAGCTCGCCTTTGTGCGAGATCTCAAATTGTCGAACAGTCTGGAATGAAAAAGAATTATGTAAAAAACGTAGTTAGTTACCAAATTCACAATCACCCGTATCTTATGTCATAAGAAAAATATTTTATTGGTCTTTTAACATTTGTACATGTATTGACAGGTCTAATTTAGAACATGGATTAAGTATTTGTCTTTCTAGGTTCTTCACTAATGCTTTGCAAGAGGGTTAGGATGTAGAATATAATAATCAAGTTCTTTTAGCGAATTTCCCATATAGGGAATAAGCTATTACCGTAGTACTCATGGTAAGACCTGGACCCGGGACCGATTTTTTTTTTCGTTTTGAGGTCCCTAGAGGCCAAAAACACCATCCGTTCAAATTCATATATATATATATATTTATATATATATATATATTTATATATGTGTCCGTTAGCGCGATAACTCGAGCAAAAATGATCCGATTTTGATGTAATTTGGTACAAACGTGTAAACCTACGTTTATTCAAACGAGTTCGCGAACCAGCATGATCGGACCATGGGAACGGGGGTTTATGGGGGCTTTTATGGGGTAAAAATGGGTTTTTCCCATTTTTGACCCAAAAAACATAAAATTTTGCAATTTCTTTCTAAACTATTTTGTAGAGCTTAAAAAAACAAATAATTTAGTATATTGAAGCGTTATAATGCGCCTAATAGTTACGGAGAAAATTCCAAAAAATTGAAAATTTAAAATTTCCATGTTATTCTTATGGAGAATAAGTAAACTGTTGTAGTTTGCTTGTTTATTAACATATTTTGCCCAAATTTGGAAAATGTTTTTATTTCTTACCAACTATTAACATTTTACATAAAAAACACTTTTACCCTCCCTGTTGCAGCAAACCTAAGTATGTTTTAAACTGATTCTTTTTAAATAGGGAATAAATGTGATATTTTTAAGGAGACATTTTAGTGTAAATCCATTCAGGGAAATGGAAATTCGCTTAGTCTGCAGGTTTGCTGCGGCGGGGGTATTTAACTCTACTGTAGCTAATAAATTACACAGAGCAAGATTGATATACTTTTTTTTAAATTTCAGACTTGTTGGTTTGGCAGTTTATGTGTTCACTCCAAAGAACACACACATGTAGAAACTACCTTTCCTTAACGTACTCTGTAATCATCTTTAACTTTAGCCCCTAATGATAAAAAAATCTTAAAAATTCCTTATTAAAAAGTCCTATAAAACCGGTATGTTTAAAATTTAAAACAAAACTGTGACCAATAAATAAACTATTTTCCTCGTTGAGGAAATCTTCTAATTGATGCTTTTATTTGTATACAAATTAAAAATGAAACCTCACCTTAACAAAATAAATAAGCGAACACTAACCTGTGCTAAAACAACCTGTAGCTCAAAATAAATAAGCGAACACTAACCTGTGCTAAAACAACCTGTAGCTCCAAATAAATTAACGAACACTAACCTGTGCTAAAACAACCTGTAGCTCTAAATAAATTAACAAACACTAACCTGTGCTAAAACAACCTGTAGCTCTAAATAAATTAACAAACACTAACCTGTGCTAAAACAACCTGTAGCTCCAAATGGACAAATCTCTTTCCAGGACACATTCTCTTCCCAACTCCGAACGGAGCCACGAGGAATGATTTTGCCCGAGCTTCAGGGTTCGGGTCGAGCCATCGCTCTGGTATAAACTTAGACGCACTTTTGAAGTTCTCTTCTTGCTGGCTTGCTATCCAGGTTTGACATAGAACCACAGCCTGCAAACAAATTGATATCATAATTCAGAGACATTTTTTCCGACCAATGAAACATATCTGTTTTACTTTATAGAACGGAAAGTCCTACTGTTATGTTGTTTCTGAACCACTATGGTTCATGTTGTTATCACTTAGGTAGAAAGCCAAAGTGTGGCAGAAATTTAACTCATACCTCCTGGACATTAATTTTGCTCAAAGGTTTATTGCGGACATTTTCCATCACATGGCAAAAAACAATACACAACGTTTCGGGATCTGGAATCTGATCCCGTCCTCAGATGAAAAAAACTTAACTAACACATTAGAACTAAGAATACACAAACGCCCAACCTAAGTTGGATTGGAATACACTACAAAGGGTATCAGTCAAAAAATATGCACTGTATATCAGTCAAGTCATGATACAACATGCAAAATAACCAATCACAAAACACTATAGTGTATAAAAGGTAAGGTGTAGTTAATGTTTTGTTATTGGTTATTATTTGCATGTTCTATCATGACTTGACTGATACAGTGCATATTCTTTACTGCTACCCTTTGTAGTGTATTCCAACTGAGGTTGGGCGTTTGTGTTTTGTTAGTTGTAATGTGTTAGTTAAGTTTTTCACCTGAGGACGGGATCAGATTCCAGATCCCGAAACGTTGTGTATTGTTTTTTACCACCGTGATGGAAAATGTCCACAATAAACCTTTGAACAACATTAACTCACCATCACCAGCAATGAACTACAACAAACAAAGAATTAATTTTGCACTCTAACAACAACACCATCAGCTACGGCACAGCACAACAATAGTTGACTCTAATGTGTTTGAAACCTGTCAAATATAGATATGTGGTTTACCCAAAAAGAGATATAATAACTGTTTACCCAAAAAAAATTAGCAGTTGATTGGCTATGCTTGGGCCTGAAAAGAGGCTTTTGACCATGTATGGTAAGCAACAAACCTTTCAACTTAACAAGCTACCTTTTTGTCATCAAATAAATAACATTTTGATAACGGTTAACTAAAATTCTTTTGCTAAGAATATGTTCTAACTTACTTCATAAAAAACCTATGGGCTAAAAGCAATATTTTGTCTTTTTAGCAAATTTCCCATACAGGGAATTAAGCTACTACCGTTAGACGTCATGGTAAGACCTGGACCCGGGACCAATTTACATTGGTACTCTGTAACTTAAAATTGTTTGTTTTTTACACTTACTATGTTGGCCAATGTATGTATAGGCCTACTAGGGGTCCCCTGCAGGGTAATGGGCCACAATAATTATTTACAATATAGTTTAAAAATTGAAATTTCTCTATACTGTACTCACCCCAGGTTTGAGATGATGTCCGCTAAGCTCCATGTCTGTCTCTAGTATCCTGGCGACACATGGTGCGGTGGGCAGCACTCTACGACCAAACAACGTTGTTACTATAGGTAGGTTATTGAGACATTGTAACGGTTCCAAATATTATGGGGGAGGGGCTTGTAAATTTTTTTAATTATTTTAACATTGGGGGTGAATCACAGCTCGTCCTGCAACGTTGTCAGAGGGAGACGGGAGTAGATCCCTGATGTTGTCATAGACAGGGATACCAAAGACCGGCTGTTGTGCTGAAGCGCTCCGAGTGGTCAGTTGTACACCAAGCCCTTCTACACATACTGTTTGCAGCACATATAAACCACCATAGTATCACCAAAAAATTAAAATCCCTGTAAGAGTTGGTTTTGTATGTGTACAGAGCTACATACTACAGTACACTTGTGGTCTGATTTTGATGAAATTTGGTATGTGAGTACTAATCCACGGTATCTCCAGGCATTTTTTGATTTTTTTGTATAAATTTGGATTTTGTGTTAAATTTTCTGAGAAACCAACTAAAATAACGGAAAAATCGGATTTTCACAAAAATTGCATGAACGATTTTGGTTAAAATTAATTTATTTATGGTCCTTATAACTCTAAACAAAATTGGTTGTACAACCCTTTATAGGGTTCAAAAGTTAGTGCAACTTTTGTGATTTTCCCCAATAAATATTATAGTTAGTTACCCCCACCTCTGGCTCTGTCTCATGATAAGGGTTCTTGACAAGCTAATGATATAAAATATGTGTCATGTTACTGATACCATAACTTCATAGCTTAATAACTCTTCCCTTCACACTTGCAGAGGCAATCTCAAACATCTGGTTATTTCCCCAGCAACCATGGCTGGTTGCAAATCCTGTATATAAAGAGTGAAAAAGCAGATCTCTAAAAAATCTAGTCCCAAGAGATAGTTACCTGAACGTCTCCATGATGCATGCGCGAAGATATGTTGCATCCCGCAGCACCTGTGACGTCACAGGTGTCCCGATTGGTGCCAAAGATATGATTTCCTCGTATAAACGTTTCTGCACCTGAGGATTCTTGGCTACGAGGTAAAATAGAAACACTAGGGTGTTCCCTAACTGGAACAAAAGTGGAGTCATATTATTTATTTCCATGAAGTAACTTAAAAGTTTTAAACTCATTTTTATTGATTGGAATACTTGTGAATTCATAAACATGAGTCAAGTAAAATATGTATGTGTGTTCTATAGATTAGTTAGACAAGACTCTTTGACCACAACCAGTGTTTAACCCTTAGAAGTTCAATTATACAATTATGTATATTTTTCTTGTTTTCCCTTATCTTATGGACAAAAATCACTTTAAAACAAGTGTTCAGTGACGACTGACAAAGTGAAGATAAGCAAAAAACAGCTGATTTGAGATGCGACTCACAATGATTTCACCCATCCTGTGTACTTCTACATGACCTATTATTGGAGCCTCTTCTACCAATCCCTGCTACAGACGGAGGAAGACCTCACAATACTGTCCTGAGACCTATAGCAATCTACCGCACCAACAACACTGGTTGACAGAACTCTCAAGCATAGTAGTTATAAACTTGATTCCCAGGATACAAAATGGTAAATAAACTATTTTTAAATTTTACTGATCTCAGTTCATTTAACAGCAATACACATTTAGCTTTTCCTTGAACAGAAAACAAGGTGCGTAAAAAAAAAACACAATCTTAAGTCTAAAATATTAAAATTGCGACTTTTTTTACAAAAATCAACATAGCTGTTTTACTAGTGAAAAAAATTGTTTCAGCCACTGAATGCAAAAGAACAAATAAACATATACTTAATTACATATAATAAACATATATATTTAACTTACCGATTGAGCTTTTTGATTATTTTATGAGAACCGTGTATAATAGCATCTAATATTTCAAGGGGACTTACAGTTTTGATGCCTGCAGCAATGAAGTCAATGATGCCAGCTTTTTTGTCTCGAGTGTCAAGCTGTGGTGATTGTAGGATGGACATGAACACACTCTTCACAGCGTCAGTCTCGCACGTCTCTTGTTCATCTTTCAAAGCTCCATCCACCAGCTCTGATATCACACTGTGGGTCAGGCCAGAATAGTTTGTGTATGAAGATAACTTATTATTTTATTTGGCAATAACATTTTAACTAATAGACGATGGCACAGTCGAATTAAACAAGGAGTCGTGTTAGCTGATGTTGGATTAACATTTTACTGTAGTAAACATCAAAACACACCCTACAAATACGAAACAGAGCCATACCTTGAAACTGTCTACAACGATCTTCATTGATGGCAAATCGATGAGGGACTAGGTCTTATGTGTGTTAAATGTGCAATTCCCAAAATGCCTAAAATAATTTTAAACCCGTTCTTTTACAAAAAATATTTGTTTATCCAAAGAAAAATGTATAGGGACAGTAAAATAATGTTACTGGTAGTTTTTGAAAAAAGAATATGCAGATAAAAAAACACACCCACATACACTAAGATTTAACTATGACAGTGCAAATACTCTAAAAAAAAAATATTATTGAAAGATTCTATGTTCCATTCAGCTGATTAGCACCACTGTTAGTTTCTTAAAACGTACAGACTACTTTACTACTTACTCATAGATCATGTCCTCACTCTGCACAAACTTGCGGTAGGCAGCGGTGGGAAACAGTTTCCAGAACGGGAGTCCATAGAATGTGTCTCTCGAGGCACAGAATTGTACCTGAAAACAAACTAAATTGTATTGAAATTGCTGTCTGGATGGCAGAGAATTTAGGTGATCAGCCAAGCTACTGAACTTATTGTTTCAACTATGAAACACCCCAGGAAAATAAAAGTAACAATAGAATAAAATGAGTAAATAAATTAAATGTTGTGTTATTTAAAAATAAATAACAAAACAACTTTACTTATATATTTAGGTTAAAACACATTGTGTTCCTGTTGAAATGAAATTACAATGATACAATTAATTATACTATAATCTAGTACAATAACAAATAATTATAAATACCTATGTATGAAAGTTAAACACAAAACTTTTGATGCATATACGCACCAATTCCAACAAAATGTACGCTATTTGCCTTTTACAGTAAAAACCTTTCTTAAGTAGTAACAAAAAAAGTTAAATGAAGGTGTAGCAAACAACCCCCCATTGATAATATTGTCAATATCTTAATCAACACACACCTGTATCGCTCTAGCAAGCCGAACAGCTTTTGGGTCAAGCTTCTGATCCAAGAACCCCATTCTCCGGCCCAAGATGAGCGTGCATGTGCTCTCAAGACCCATACGGTTGGCGAGCTCCTCAAACATTCTAAAAAACCATTCCTAATTATTAAACCATGCATAGTTAGTATTGAAAGAACAAAGTCAAACTCATACAGTGTTTTTTTTTATTAAAAAATCTTTTCAGATTACTTTAACTTACTCTCTATAATTTTAAGAAATCGCTTTTCCACTGTCAAAAATACATGAGGTGGGTACGACATACATGACTTAATAAAACTAGACCATGCCACTGAGAAATAAGGCAGCAGAGAGTGCTTCTTTATGGAAATAGATTTCTTTAAACCTAGTCATGACGGGAGTTACACACTTGAAATACAAAGATCATCTAGCCCCTGAAAAAATTCAGTTTTTTAATGGTTTAAAACTGGACCAGCTGTTCTTAGTAGTAACAAATTGAAACTAAATATTCAGAATATTCATAATGGTGAATGTAAATGTTCACAGAATGTGTTCACCATTCAATATTATGCGTGTCAAACCGTTTTTAACTTGAAGTTTCCGATAGGGAATGATACTCACCTGACGACACCTTGGTCATCCCGCGAGGACACTAGGAGGCGGTTAAAGTCGTCTGCGACTTGGTTAAGCTCGGGTAGAAACCTCTGCATAGTGGCAGAACTTGTTAGAGCTGGTGTGAGGGACGCACGCAGCTGATGCCACGTCTCTCCTTGTCTGCAAGTTACGTTTATTAATAGTATGTTATAAAACATGATTTATAGTAGATTTAAATTTTCAATAATACTTGACAATTTGAGCTACAGTACATGGATTATTCAGTGGTTTATTAGTTTATTTGCCTCTATTTCATTTTTTCATCATCTTTTGACCACAAAGATCCTAATTATGTCATAACAAGACACCAACATTAAGGAAAGAAACAAAAAGGAACAAATTGCCCAATTTTATGCGCAACTCACAAAATATCACCCCATCTCGTCAATTGCCAAACTACGCTTTCTAGGATTTATATTAGGTGAGCCTCTCCCACAATGCTTCTTAACTTGAATTCCAGATTGCAGCACAAGTCAAACATAGCTCCTAACTATTACCCATTCTCCATTATAATTAATTATTAAGGAGTATACCCATGTAGCACAGATGGTTGGGCCAACGTTGGCCAACTGTGGGACAGTTGGTCGATGGTTGGTTGGAGCTTCCACAACCAACCAACCGTTGTCCAACTGTATATCTCGTAGTTGGGCCAACCAATATTTACAACTGTGGACCAACATTGGTTCATTGTTAATGAAATACATTAATATGCATTGCTGGGTATCATACATCAAGCCAACCGTTGTCCAACCGTTTTTCACTCCGTTGGACCAACAAAAGATACTTTTGTTGGACCAACGATGGTCCATAGTTGAGTTTACACTACTTTCATTCTCTGGGTCTAGCTTTCACAACATAATTATAATAAAATATCTGGTTTTACAATACCTTTATTAGTTCCAAAAGTTTTTGGAACTGATAAAGGTATTGTAAAACCAGATATTTTATATATTACAGTTCCGGGGCTACAACAATGAATTTTAATAATTATAAAAATGCAAATATTTTTTAAATTAATATTCTTTAACTTATTTGCAACAATTTAAGGGGAAAGAGTAATTAATCATATAACAGTCAATTATAATAGCATTAATAATCTAACGGTAATTAATTAATCTATATTCAAATACCAGTATCCTCTCTAACTCAAAAAAAAAAAAAAAAATAAAAAAAATAACTACTTATGATGCCTTAACAGAATCATATTACAGTATACTGTGTAGTATCAAAAATGTTTGAAGTATTGCGACCATTGCAACTGTCGGCTACTCTTTCACCACTTGAAAACTCTCTGTATCAACAATCACAGATAGCTCAGTGGTAAGGTAAGAGGCTGATAAGTCGAAGGACCCGGGTTCGAGACCCGTCTAGGCCAAAAAATTTTGTTCTAGCTTTTTTTCAAAATTGGTTTTTATGAACTATTTAATCAATTTACTCAACTAATAATTATGCTTTTCGTACTAAATCTTTATTATTTTGTGTGAAATAAAACGGTTGGTTGGATATCAGTTGTGTTATGGTTAGTTGGTCATCAGTATTTTTGGATGGTTGGGCCATTGTTGGACAATGGTTGGCTGGAAAACAGTTTAAAGAGGTGACATTTCTACCGTTGGCCAACTGTGTGGCTCCACAATTTACCAACGTTGGCCCAACCATCTGTGCTACATGGGTATGAACACTGGATAAAATCCACCCTGAAACCAGATGGAAACATTTCAGCAGCTGACTGAGGCATAACCACCACATACAATACCTATTGAAACACTTTTTACAATAGAATAGAAAACCGACAGTATTAATTGATTTACTGAACATGTTAAATTTGTAGCTCACTCGTTAACAAGCCCCATATTCGTGTAACGGTCAGGGCGAGTGGTGCGGTAATGAGCGGTGACTTCTGTAGGTGGTCGCACCGGATAGCGGCTCGGATACCTCAGCACCTTCTCAATATCCGCAGCTGCGAAGAGACTCACCACCTGAATGTTCCATAACGCCTCCTCACGCACAACGGGACCATACGTCCGATGAAGCTCTGTGGGAAAAAATTCATTTTTTAGAAACAGTTGTCAAAGAGTAATTCTATAGAGGGATAGAAACACATTGGAAGTGTTAATTTCAGAATAGAGCAATGGTATTGGTTCCAATCGCTCTATTGTAGGCAATTATGCTGTTTAAACATTTGCGATTTGATTTGATTTATTGAAGCAATGAGGTTAAAAGAGAACTGCCAGAATGTTGTTAACTATTGACAGTTATTATTGATTATTCACGTATTATATATATAGATTTATAGTAACAAAGTGATTATTCAAACCAATCACTTGACTTGGTTTTGGATTTATTTATAAAACAGGAATGTCCAATGTTACAAAGTAGTACTGTATACAACAGAAAGCTATTGTTGTCTTTGTGTTTCCTTAAGGATATATCTTATGCTTTTTATAGTAGAACCATTAGTCATGTTTTTCTTGTTCTCTTCCATTTTGTATCTGTTTGTACCTGTCTTCTGTTCACTTGCAAATGATTTTTCTCAACGCAGTGTAATTTTTAGTGTATTTATCATGATGAATCGGGATTTTACCAAAATGTGATTAATTATTTGAGAACTCGACATCCAAAATTTCCCTCATACCCTCCTTTGTAAATAACCTGCTCCCAATTGTTAAATTTCAATCTTTTTTTGCATATTTACAACTAGTTTGAAAACCAGTTAGTTAGGTGCCGATGGTAAATTTATTAGAAATCAAATTTGGACATGAACCAGTACTGGTATTAATTTTGAAAAATTAGACCAGACGCATCACTTTACTTACCGGTATTACAGCAGTATCTCCAAACTTAATAAATATGCATGTTTGCAAAAAATAAAAAAGTTTAAACTAATACTTACCTTGGTAAACTTCATGTATTTTGTTAATCTTGTAGTATCCAACAGAATACAGCCATCTAGTGCCCAAGATGGGCAGTGATGGGGGTCCAGGGATTTTCCTTGGTATCACATGATTTTTGAGGCCTGAAGAGGTAAAAATTTGAAAAAAACATCTAGACAAAATAAAATTTTGGTAAACCATTATAGTAACTAGGAAGTAACATATATTAAAGAAGTGGTCATAAAATCTACTATACGAAAGATCATTATGTTATTGGTATCCACATATAAATCCTAAAGTACCCATGAACTTTTGAGAAAACTATAAGTCACACCCCCATAAACCATATACTTAAAATGTTCGTCATGACGAGAAACCTTGAGCAAATCTATCCATTATTTCATAAATTGCCCTTTAAGGTCGGAATTCCTTTCTAAAGGGGACTTCCATGTACCTAATGTTAAAAATATCTCAGCTGTACATATTTGTTTGTTATTAAAACGTTTTTATTAGGTCGCTTTCTTGTCCGCTGCAAATTTTGCAACCGATTTTATACTAACTTCCCGATGAGCTAGGGACTTGAAACTTGAAAAATATCTCACAAATGGAAGACAATGCAATATTATACAATTGAATTTTCATATTTCCCTTGGGCTACGCCCCATGGGCTTGTTTTTATTAAATCGATTTCTTGCAAATTTTGATACTTCCCGATGAGCTAGAGACTTGAAATTTGAAACATAGCTCACAAATGGATGACATTGCAATATTATATCATTTAATTTTCATATTTCCTTTCGGGCTACGCCCCATGGGCTTGTTTTTATTAGCTCGCTTTCCTACAAATTTTGATATCAATTTTAAACGATGTAACCGATAAGCTAGAGACTTGAAATTTGAAACATAGCTCACAAATGCATGACAATGCGATATTATATCATTTAATTTTCATATTTCCCTTGGGCTACGCCCCATGGGCTTCCAAATTTTTCATGTTTACATTTTAAAAGGATGTAAATATATCAACTAATTTAAGTCAGCTGTAAATACTTAAATTTGACAGTTCAAAAAGCAGAGGTTAAGAGCTACAGGTTCTGCTCCCAAGAGATTCTTGATACAAACAAACATTTCAAAATAAAGATAAACAATCTGATTGCAGATATAAAGGAGTTTGTTAACAATGTCATTTGTTATTTATTTAGTATTCTATAAAGTAAACAATAAATCAAATAGATTGACATATTTATAGTTAGTAGGTAGGCCATACATGCAATCTAATACATAATTATATGCAAAGAAACTCAAATAAACCTTAGATTTCCCACATGCCTCTGTCTTAATCTGACATAGACGCTTGAAATAGATTTAACATGCACACATATTAAAACTAAAAAGTATAAAATAATTTATAAATAAAAAACTTTTTTAAACAAAACGTTTTTAAACGCCCTAAAAAGTAGAAAATAATTTACAAATAATTTATAAATATGTCGAGAGAGTATAAATACTTGTACGATTTAAAACGAAAAACGTGGGGTGCATGCAATAGATAGTTTACAATTACCTTCACCTACTGAACTAATGTATTATTATCAATTAATTGCATGCACCCAACGTTTTTCGTTTTAAATCGTACAAGTATTTATACTCTCTCGACATATTTATAAATTATTTGTAAATTATTTTCTACTTTTTAGGGCGTTTAAAAACGTTTTGTTTAAAAAAGTTTTTTATTTATAAATTATTTTTTCAATTTATTAGCTTACTAAAATCAGGTGTGAGTATTAATTGTTTGTATTACTGTATTCTGTTTTGTTTATTTCAGCTTAACATAACCAATCAATAGTTTTATTAATACTTATGAAATCAAAAGGGCTGAAGCCCGTGGGTAACAGCTAGCTACAGTACATGCTAATTGGTTTAACAATAGTTTGATGTCATCATATGCTATCACCATCACAATTTTCAAAAGAATATTTTCTTCAATTTAATCAATAACAAAGTTGAATTGAAAACTGTTTGCCATCAAAATTGTAACATTGACTTTGGATGTAGAAGTAAAAACCTTAATTTACGGGCGAATATTAGTTTTTCTCTTTAAGGTGACTATCATTGAAAGATTCTATTTGAATCTTCCAAAATTTATATCTGTACCTATATTTTCTCTTCTGTTTTTGTGAAAATTAATATTTGATGGGGCCACAACAAAATGCTGTAAGTTGTAATGCAGAATAAGTTTGTCATTGAGTTTAGTGTGAAAAAAAAGGTTGGTGAATACGGTAACACAAGAAAGAATATTTTTTTTTTACCTCTTCATTTATTAAACTCTAAAAGTTATTATACAGCTTTTAATTTTGGGCCAGATTCCTCAAAAAATCTCCATATGTACCTTTCTCTGTGGATAAGCAAATACATTCATCTACTTTTTCAAATTAAGGATATAGTATATATATTATATATTTAATATTTTTGAAAAACTTTCTGAATTGTAAAATAATGCAGCAGTATTATCTGCAAAAGTACTAAATTTAGTGTTTTATTTTTTGAGTCCTCTGTCATTCATCATTCTAAAGGATTAGATGTAGCAGAAATCTTGAGCTACTTAATTATCTATGTTTATAGAAGAATTTTCCGAGGCCAATCTACAAAGGAATTTGGCAAGAATCTCACATGTCAAAAAGATAACATGAAACTGTCAGGCCATGAACTTCTTATCTTTGGGTCAAAGCCCTGTAGGCTGAGCTGAGATAACCTTTCAGGGATTTACTACTTTCGCAAAGCTCTTTATGACTCATTTTGCATCTTTTTCTTTACTATGTAATTTTTATTATTTTTTGCAAAAGTGCAGATTTTTCATAATGATTGTTGTTTTGACCCTGTGCTCTTTTTGAATGTTATTATAATATTATTTGAACTTGCAATCTATTATTGTAGTGTCAACCAAACTAGTGAAAACAGGGATTTATTGTGAAATATTCCATCTTTTACTAGAAAAATATCATATTGAGATTCCAGGTTATCACTAGGTAAATTACGATTTAATTAATGTACATAACCATTAAGACTAGATTTTTTTAGAAAAGAATTTTTGTCGGTTGAATGGAATTTTACATACCGATACTCGAGTTATGTTTTATCTTTGATACCATAGATAAAACATATCCTTAGTAGATTTCCAATCCTTATGGAACAGCTGAAGCCATTTTTATTGTTAGTTCTGTCCGGTTTTCTGTAGTTCTGTAGATGTCGTGTTTTGTTTACAATTTGTTTCTATTATTTTAGGGTTAGTTTCTCATTATTTGTGCCTCACTGTTTGGTTATATAGCTAGTGAACAAGTTATTGTTTATGATTAGATAGTTTTATTTGGGTAAAAGAGGTTTTAAATTACTGAAATAGCAATAAGAAACGAATTGTAAACAAACACGACTCTACAGTTCGGACAGAACTAACAGTAAAATTGGCTTCAGCTGTTCCATACGGATGGGAAATCTACTAAAGAGTTACCCGGTATGTTTTATCTATGATACTAGTTAGTTATTGTTCCTTCAGTTTATAGAGTTTTGGACTTTAGGTAAAAAAAACAAATAACAATAATAATAATGGTTGCTAAGACAACATCAGCTGACACTAGACACTTCTTTAAGGATTTACTTATTTATTTGTGTGTTATCCAGGCCATTGTCATTTTTTAGCGAATTTCCCTATAGGGAAGTAGCTATTACCGTAGGTCTCATGGTAAGACCTAGGCCCGGGACCGATTTACTTTTTCATTTTGATGTCCCCAGAGGCCAAAAACACCATTCGTTCAAATTTGTACATATGTATATATATCTCTATAGATAAATATATATATGTCCATCTTGATAACTTGAGTAATTGTTTTCCAATTTTGGTATGGTTGAAGGTGTAAGGCGGGATAAACTTGAATGAGTTCGCGAACCAGCATGATCAGACTATGGGAAAGGGGGTTTACGGGGATGTTTCATGGGGTAAAAATAGGTTTTTCCCATTTTTGACCCTAATAACACAAAATTTCACAAATTCTTTCCAAACCATTTTGTAGAGCTTAAAAAAAAACAAACAATTTAGTATAGTGAAGCGTTATTATGCGCCTAATTGTTATGGAGAAAATTCAAAAAAAACTTTTAATTTTAAAATTCCCATGTTATTTTTATGGAGAATAAGTCAACTGTTGTAGTTTGCTTGTTTATGAACATATTTTGATCAAATTTGGAAAATACATTAATTTCTTACTAAATCACTAAGTTCTAACTAAACTACAGTACCTTTTATCATTTTACATTTAAAAAAATGTTTACCCTCCCTGTTGCAGCAATCCTAAGTACCGTACTCGTTAAACTAATTATGTTTAAATAGGGAATAAATGTGATATTTTTAAGGAGACATTTTAGTGTAAATCCAATCAGGCAAATGGAAACTCGCTAAGTCTGCAGGTTTGCTGCGGCGGGGGTATTTACGTTTTGAAAGGGACCGGTCTAAAGGATTGAAGTATAAACCAGTCCATAGTATAGAAATTGTTTTCGCACACCCTAGAGTCTTAGAGGCATTGAGTTCTTACTTTTTGAAACATTGCGAACTTGTTTTGGTGAGGTACTTTATGGATAGCTATCTGTAATCCATATACTTTAAATCTGAAAGGGTTAGTTCAGTTTCATACCATTTGGTAAATTAATGAACATGTTAACAGCTAGATTCACCACAGCCTTCCTACTAAATATAGTTGCAATTGGCGGCATAACAAAAAAAGGATCTCTTGTTTCAATTAACACCACATTTTGTCCAATTAAGGTCCCTCTCGACAGAATCGTGGCTACTTGGAACCTTGACACAACATATGACTCATATGAGGACTGTGTTTAAAAAATGTTAATTTTAGTGTTGTCATGTAACCAATGGGAATAGGTGAGTCTAAACATCTCTCCCCTTTTAACAAATTAAATAGATACAAATAGGATTATTAGAGTCAAATTATTTTTGAAAATCTTACCATGAACTCTGGTTTTGCGAGAGTGTGATATCCACCATGATGGTCTCCAATCTGTCAACAGCACCAGTAGTACCACCAAGACCAACGCTGCCACATCCAGTGGTGCCACTACCACCGACAGCATCCTGCCACAAAACATAAAGTCAGTATCTCCTTTGTCGACTGCTACCTATGGTATAGAACATTTTCATTAAAAGTTGAGGTTAGCTAGTTTTTAGAACAAATATGAACATAGTCATGGAGAAAGGTACAGAGGAAACACTCAAGTGGTGTCTAGGGCAAAGTCCAACACCGCCCATCTCACCCTCATGTAGGTACTACATAATGCTAACGGTGGACTGTGCCCTGGGCGATAGGAATTTCCGCACATTGCTCGCCCATTAGGGTAGGCTCTTCCTTGCTCGTCACAAGTATATCAATTCTGGCTCAACATACCAGAGCTGAAAGAGGTGAGAAATGAGAAATGATGTTCTGATGTACTGGTCTGATTGTGAGAAATGAGAAAAGGCTGAAGCGATTTTTGATGTTTTAAATCTGTATAGCTAGCTATACATTGCTAATTAGTTATTCTTGCCATACACACATACACACTGTACATTACAAAAGATAAAAGAAGATGATGATTCCTTAGTCTCGGCAATTACAGTAGGGAGTAAGGAGATGAGCATCGATAGCTCAACCATCAATGTTCAACATCGATGGTAACACCGTCGCAAAAACATCAATGTACCGTACCAATAACATAGATTTTTTTCAGATTTTTGACTGCTCTCTGTACCTACTGTAACAGCTAATTAACCTAAAACTAATACAATTCAGTCATGATATTTCAATACTTGGCCAAAGATATTGATGTTCGACAATAACCTCGATGTAACAAAAACATTGATTATCCAATGATGCTCATCCCTAGTAGGGAGTACAGTACATCAGTACATGGTAAAGTGGAAGACCAAGGTAGTGCATCCTTCCTGTAATAAAATGCGGTAATCAGCACTCCTAATACTTTGTTATTAGAATTTAATGGTATTTAATTTATCAAACAAAGATATAAATTAAAATTAATATATCACCATTTTAAGCTTTAATAATGGAACACTCTGACACAACACTTAATATACCGTACCAACAAGGGATTGGCAAAGGAGAAAAATGAATATCATCCACCTTGTTATCCATGTCTTGTTATCAGCTGTTTTTTAAACTTCATGTAATTAATGAAAACCGCTGTTTGCCAACTAGGGCCTAAAATCACTACTTTATTAGGTCCTGTGGATCAGATGTTAATTTACTTAGTTTAAACATTCACTACTATAACACAACCCTATTCAACAGGTTCCGACCAGAAGATTCATGATAACTTCGTCTGCATGTTGTCTGCTTAGCAACCATAACCTCTAATTGTATAATGGCGTTATTAATGTTAGCTATTTTTTCTTAAGTAGCGATTGCACTTCGAGTCAACGTTGTCTGGGCTGTTGAACTTATCAAGTATTCCATTGCATAATAAGTACTTGAAATATTATCTCGAACTTGTAAAACGTCACTTACGCCCTCGCCCTTGGTGCGAAATATAATATTTTGAATGGTTTAATGATTCTTATATTTTTAAAATGGACGCTGGTTATTTCTTTGTGTGTCTTACTAATCTGGAAAAAATTGTATTTACTATGACGTTTATACAATATTAAGGAAAATACCCCCCGCTGCAGCATACCTGCCGACTAAGCGAATTTCCATTTGCCTGGATTGATTTTCAATTACTCTATTAAATAAAATTTATGTTTAACGAGTACCTAGGTTAGCTGCTAAAGGGAAACTAATAAAGAGTGTTTTTTATTAAAATATCAATAGCTTAGTGTGAAATAAATAAATCTGCCAATTTTGATCAAAATATATCCATAAACAAGCAAACTACAACATTTTACAATATTCTCCTTAAGAATAACATAGGAATTTTAAATTGACATTTTTTTTAATTTTCTCCGCAACCAATCACAGTACAAAAACACGTTGATATAGTAAATTATTTGTTTTTTGAGCTCTTTAAAAAGGTCTGGAGAAAATTAATAAATTTGTGTTTTAGGGGTAAAAAATTACAAACCCCCATTTTTACCCCATAAAACCTCTCGTTAACCCTGTTCCCATGGTCCGATCATGCTGGTTTGCGAACTCATTCATGTTTATCCCGCCTTACACCTTCAAACCAAATTTTATCAAAATCGGACAAAAATTACTCAAGTTATCGTCCGGAAACAAATAAGGTACACGTTTTAATATGTTAACTAGGGTATTCCAAATAATGAATAGTTTAATTTTAACATGAATGTTTTATTTAGATTTATTGTAAATGTGGTTCAGTATAAAAACTACGGTAACCTCTACACACTCGTATAAATATGCTGTAGACTCAATAATTGCTAGTCAATTAATTTAATCGTAAAGATGGGAGTTTCTAAAAGTATATTATCATTTTCGAATACATTTCTGGAAATTTGTATTTTGTGTTGTTTTATAGTAGGATATTTATAGCTCGAATCTCTGATCGCAGATACAAAATATGCTACAAATTATACAAATCTAATAAATTTATAACTGTATGAATAATTTGTAATGGTCATATTTTAAGATTGGTAGAGTAGTTTTTGTTGTTATAAACGTGGAAAATTGTTGTTTTGTAAGTGTTGTCCTCATAAGATTCTATGGTAATCACTCATGAGGATATCTATTATCATTTATACTTATTTAAACTTAAACGTAATGTAAATTAAAAAAAAAACTTATTTATTGAGTAGGCTACTTTGAATGTTTCCTTGTAATCATTACTTTTTTACTTAATAACATTTTTTACCGATAATAGCACAAAATTACTTTGTAAAGTGCACACTTTAAAGGATAACTAAAAACAACAAAAAAAGAAAACGGTAGCACGTTCCATTTTATAAATAACTATTCCTTTAAAACCTTTTATATGGTAAAAACCATCAATATCATGAACTAAAGGAAAGGTTAAATCACCTGTTCAGCGGATGAGAGATCCGGCGATAACCTTCATACATACATAATCATCTGATAAAGGAACGAGGAAAAAGAACGAAAAAAGGCCTCGCTTGGATACCACCAACACTAAGCGCTGACCGCTGCTGCTACTGAATGCTGAACACTGACACTGCGGCGAGCTGCAAGTGCTCAAATTTGATTTTGAGGACTGAGGGGAGGTGAGGGAAAGTAAGAGGGGGTAAATTTCCACCCACCCCTCCACGTGAACCGACCCTTAATCTTGGGATGTGTGAAATATAGTGATTTGAGTTAATTTATTTACCATTTATATACATTTAGTAAACCTATCCGATTAAAGCATTCTAAAAGATCATTTGATGAATCACACACACTCAGTCAACGCTGTAGTTCACAATACATCTTCCTGAATAATCTTGATTAAATGTAATTTTATTTATAACATGAGGAAATATTAAAATATACAAAGTTTATGTTAGTTCCATTAGCCTACAAATAGGTTATTAAAGTTAAATTCACTTATAAGTTGTGGAGTTAAAGTCTGCAATATTGTACGTTCTGACTGATTGCATGTATTCGAAAATGTTGAAAATTAGTTTTAATATTTTTGCAAAAACTAAATATAGGCTACCATCTAAAATTAGTGCATATATTATATCCGTACCTGCAAATCAATATCCAGCTTCAAAAAGCAGCAACCTAGTTGCTTCTTTATTTTAATGTAATTGTTAAAATGTACAATATAAACAAATAATTGAGGTAAGTTACTTACTACGAAACTTTTTGAATCAGAAGTAATGTTAAAGTCGTCTTGTGGAAGCCGAACGTTTAACTTTAACTATTTTACTGAAAGTATCAATTAAGTATTGTTATGTGGCAACTGGGAACCAGAGGATAATAGAATGGTAGAACTTATTTTCTAAGTTTGTAGTCAATAATATACTATGTTTTGATTTGTGTCGAAGTCCGTTACGACTTGAGTGAGTGCATCGACTAAATTTTCATAAATAATTATAAGTGGAATCGTAGATTAAAGAGGTAGTGGAACTTCCATTATGCACTTCCTTGAATGTAGGGTTAATGCAAGTCAACTGAATGAAAGACGGGGACTTGAACGATCTTGGGCCGTTTGGTTGATTCGGTCCAATTGAAATAGATGGGTTGTAGATCCTCTTAGAGGTCCATAACGATTACATCAAATATTCCCGTTGCAGCACACCTGCATAGCCAATTTCCAGTTGTTTAGTTAATTTTAGCCATACACGTTCATAACAAATGAAAGAATATCTAAGTCCAATGTAAACAATAGGCTTGTTTACTAAAGATTAGGGTTTCTTTAGATGTGAAAGCCTACCATAAACAAATAAGTTAGCCAAATATAATTAAGACTAATTTAAAAAGTAGGAGAATTAATAAATGCGTTATGAAAGATGAAGTTTTGCGATAGGACATTCATTATTTTAGGTCAAATGAAAATGGGAAAACATTTTAAACCTTAGGGAACCACTCTTAAAACAGTTACTTTGCATAGGCTACTGTTAACAACTTGGGTATGTAATTGACATTAAAATGTGTTTATCTAAATAAATTAATGATAATATAACGAAATGTTGTTAGCACGTAAGCATTTGTTTAAATAAGAAGCAAATAGTACGATGATATATAAATAAATAATATTTTGTTCAAAAAAATCATAATGACTGAAGTAATAAAAAGGTAAAAAAAATCTCTAACCGTTTGAAAAAGTAATTCCTTCTGATGACTTTAAGCGAGTGCAGAAAACCATTATGTAGAAAAATAAGAAGCAAAACTATGAGAAAAGTCAAATTCAAACTAAGTTGTTCGAGAACCGAATGGCCTAATGTGAAAGAAAGAAATTGTACTAATAAAATCACCAGGCAACAAGTTTGGCAAACTAAATAAATACGTCATGACGTATGGTAAATCTTTATTAATCGAAATAAATAAGTGATTATGACATGTATGAAGGTACAGAAGCATGGTGTATTCAAACAGAACAGGCAAGCACAGTATGCAAAGGGTAAATTCAAAATATGTTGTTTCAAAACCATAGACAGATGCAAAGGCAGACGCTACTATGGCAAAA